GGTATGTTTTCCTGCAGCCAGTTCCTGATGGGAAGTTGGTTTCTGGTGGAGCAGGGAGTTCACAGTTTGGTTCTCCCACTTACACCCACTCTGTGGCCTGGAGGGGTTTGTTGCATCCCAGAGGGTTGTAAAACTGTGTGTGGGTCCTTCCCTTTGGAAGTTTGGCTTAGAGGGGGTATGTGTGATAGAGAGCTCTTCCAGATTGTTATCATGTAGACAAGCTGGGCCAGAGGGACAAATTTAGGTTTTGATCAATTTGTGTCTTAAACATCTGAATCTCTTTCTGAAGGGATTCCTCTCCTCCACCACCCATGGTAACAGAGGCGTTGCTAGTCCTTTTTTCCTGTTTGCACTGAGATGGGGGGCATGGTGTGTGTGTGGGTGGGTGTGTGTGTGTGTGGGGGGTGTGTGGGGTGTGGGTGCGTGCGTGTGTGTGTGTGTGTGTGTGTGTGTGTAGAAATTGTACACTTCCGTGGGATGAAAAAGCTATTTGAGACCAGATCGAAGTGTCTGCCTAACAATTTCAGTCTGGCCGTAAGTGTCCTGTTCCTCTCAGGAATGGCACTTTTTGAAGGATGCTTCTGCAGTATGGTTCCAGGTGCTTTTTCTGAGCACAGCCTGTCCTTGCTCTGAGATGCCTTTTGCTGTTGTGCCAGCTCCTGTTGGAGACCACAGGCTTATAGGATGCTAATGCATCTGAGCATTTATTCTCTACGTTACAGAGATGAGCAGGGCGGCTTGTGGATGGGGCTTAAAAACAGGGTGGGGTGAGACCTGGACCTCTGGGTGCCAGCTGATCCAGGGTTCTGTCAGGAGTTATAGGAGCTCTTGAAGCCTGAATTGATTGTACCTCCTGGATGCTGTAAGCAAGGAAACCTGCCAGAGCACTGGAGCAAGCTGTCTGTCAGGGATCAAGCTGTCCATCAGCGCGGGAACTCTGCATTTCCACCTCCACCAAGCGCCTCAGACACCAGCTCTGGCTGTGGGAAGTGCGTGGCGTTTGCTGTGTCTTGCTTTCCTAACTGTATGAAAATACTTTCAGTGCTGTGACTGCTGGGCTAAGCCTAAGGAGACCAGGCTGAAGCTGGCTTTTGAGGATGGGCTGCCAAGGCAGAAGCATGCTGGTCGCTATCATGCATGCCAAGGGCTTCACGTCACAGCCATGGCAATTTTTTTGACACCTGGTGAAAGGAGTGAACAAGAGGGCATCATCTTGTGTCTGTTATACAGTAGTTTGGAAGCAGTAAGAAAACAATCCAAATGGCACAGATGACATAGTGCAAGCCTCCCTTTTTGCAAAAGCAACAAATGGGTCGGTTTCTCTTCTTAGCATGAAATGGCACACTGGAAGAGGTGGCTTATCTCCAAAATGTACTCATTATTTTTTCACAACAGTTTTCAAACAGGAAGTCTTATTGGGGTAATAACTGCATCTGAACAAATGCCAAGTGTGATGGCGAGCTGCACTTAAGCCTGGGATCTGGCTGCATATCAGCATTAACGTAAGAACCCTTACCAGGAAAGTCCTTTTCTCAAAACAAATTCTAGTACCAGTGTGTTCTGGTTTTCATCAGCTTTCTTGTCTGTGGACTTGCAGTGGTCTAATGAAGAAAAATGAAGCATTAATTTCTTCACCAACAGGACAGTAGTGCCAGCTGGCCTGTGTTGTGCTGCTTGTGGGGGAGGTATCACCTTTGGTGGCCTCTGCCTTTCTGCCCAGCTGAAACTGTCTAGTGTCTCCTGACAGTTTGCAGGGCCATAGATGCCCTAGGATGCTGGTGCTGGTGCTCCTTAACTTGCACTTTCTTAACAAGCAACAGTCTGCTCTTGCAACAGCTTTTCAGTCACCCAGTGCTTGCACAGCAGGAGGCTTACGTGAAATTTGTTCCATGACTTCTAGCTTCTGCCTTAATTGTGCCAGTGAGAAGATGGTTCAGATCAAACTCCAGTCAGATTTCTGATCTGAAAAGCTTTTGTTAAATCTAGTTAAGACTCATTAGGAACAATTTGGGTGAAAGCTGTAAAATTAATTGAAATATGTGATATGAAATAATCATGCAGGGTCAGTGAGCTGAGTTAAGAGGGAGAACCTCTTTTTGCATGCTCTCTTGCTGTGTTGTAGCTCTACAGTTAGTCCTTGCCACAGAGGAAATGTGTTTTTTTACACCTTTGAAAATGTAAATTCTTCCAGTTGCTCTTCTGTAGAGTGGTTTTGGATGTGGGTTTGTTTAGGGTTTTCTTACTGTTCACTGAAGTTGAGGTGCAAATAATATTTTAATCACTTTGAGATATTATATTAAACCATGTTTGTAATACTGATTTGAAAAAGGAAGATGAGCTCTCCCAATTTCATCCTTCTTTCCTGCCATCCATACTGCCATGGACTTGGAGAATATACACCACAAGGGAAAGGATGCACCCTGCAAGTTCTCAAGTCTCCGCAGGTGTTGGCTTTGGTTTTGGCAAGAATTTAGTTGCTTAAAGATACAGAGCTAACTTATGGTAGGCTCATGAGGCACTTAGGTATATCCAAATTTAGTTTCCAAAGGAGTTCAAATCTGTGTGAGACAGACCTGTAGTCACTGTTCTGCTGTCTGAGATACCTAAAGATGATGGAAGTGTACTACCTGTTGAAAAGAAGCAGTCTGTCAGTTTGCTAAATATACTCAGAAGAGATTGAACTAAAGAAATAAATGCAAGATGTCTAGTATATGCACCACTGAATTGTCTGAATAAAAGATGCTGTCTTTGTGCAATTTTTCTTAGATCAGGTTCCCATCCCAGTGCTGTTTGACATAACTCGGGAAAAATACTTGCACTGTGGCTTTATTAAAAGTTTTGGTTCTTTTTTACTATCTTTATTTATTTTTATTTATTATATCTTTATTTAGTATCTAAGAACATGGTGGTTCATGCAGTAAGCTGAAGCCTACCTCTTAATGGGCTTGCGTTGATCTTTGCACGTACCTTAGAAATAATACATAGATACCCAGAGGTCCATACAGCACACATCAGAAATCACTGACTTGGCAAATACAAAATACTGAGTGACCTTTAATGATAAAGCTTAATCATACAGACTTTGAATTAATATGCTGTTCACATTCACACAGTTACAGCTCAGACAGTGTCAGCTTTTGCATAATAAAAAGCATTTAATTCAGTATAACAGCTGACTGCTTCCTAACAACTTCAGTCAAATAATGAAGCAAACATTTCTTTAAGTGGAGAAAAACTCAAGTGCAGGTGTAAAGCAAGACAATGAGACTGCTGCTAAGGCATCCCTTTTTTGTCACTGTCCCCATGCCTTTTTCTAAGCAGTGTCTCTTTTGCTTGGTTTCTGAATTGAGCCTCTCATCAGACACTGAACTTTTGTGAAATCTGCCTTTGAGTGGTGAGAGCAGCTTTGACTGGTATCTGCAAACTTTCAGTTTTGCACTCTCCAGCCTCACTGCTTCCTGGGAGGCTGCTTCTGGTAAACACATCCTGCATCACTGGGAGCAGCGCGGGAAGCCAGTGGTGCCTCAGTGCCTTCTGGTGAATCCTCCAGGGTGAAGGTATAGGGCATGTTGTGGTGAGGACTGAGGAGTGGAGCTGGCTGGACAGTACCTGAGGTCTGCCCAGTCGAGGGCCATGCCAAAGCCTGGTGAACAGGTAGGAGTGGCTGGATGCACTGGTTTGGACCCAGGGTCAGTTTAGCCCAGGAACATGTGGATGTCAGCAGATGCCTGGGAAGAGTTCAGCTTGGAGCTTCATGACATATGATGGATATGATTTTTAAGTATGTTGTGAATTTTTGAGCTTCTTTACCCTCCTTTTCAGCTCCTGTAGGATTTTGGTTTCCATGACATTGCTTTTCAGGGAGGTCTGTGGTTTTGACTGCAAACTGTATGGAGAACCATTTCCTGTTTGGTGTGATGCTGACTCCTGATACCTTCTTTTGATGTTCTCTGGCTGTTGTATTAAAAGAGGTGGTGAATCACAGATTCATCTTTACATTTTTCAGACCTCTTATGACTGAATGCATGTCTGGCCACGTGTCTCTCAGCTGCCTCTTTCCCTCAGCTGAAAAGTCCTAACTGACTTGGTTATCCCTTTTTATATTCCAGACTTCGCTGCTGGACAATGACTATAGGCAATGCCTTCACAGAAGCCATTTCCTTCCTCTGCCACGTTCTGGTTCTCAGGATTCTCCCTGCAACTCCTAATAGTTAGGAATTAGTTTAAAACCTAAGCTGAGATTTCTTCTCTTCAGAAACCTTTGCTGGCATTAACTTTTGGTACCTCCAGCTGAGATTTAGCCATGCAAAACTTACATTCTTTTGAGTCTTAATCTTTTTTACTAATGCTTTAATTTAAGAATTTAAAAAAAGAAATTAGCATGTGGGTAAACACAAACGTGGTGTATGAGGTCACATGGAAGTAAAAGCTACAAACCTTGCTAGTGGTCTTTTTGTGAGCACCATCAGTCTCTCTGCTCTCTTGGTGCTATTGACACACTAGCTTTCACCAGCTAACAAGTTTATTTTAACTCCAGCTTTCTGCGTTTCATCCTGTTATTTAGGGAAGTGACTTAAGAACAGCTCAACAGAAATAGTCTTTTCAGAGCAATTAGTATGACTTGTCAAAAGCAGTGAGGCTTGCTAAGCTCACACCCACACAGGAATGGTAACAGAGCTTAAAAACAAGGACTGGCCACTAGTTGTTCCAGGCTGTTGAGGGGGTGTCTGTCCATGACAGCAAAGGCAGACCTCTCAATGTGTGGTTCTGTAAAGAACTGACCATGGCGTTGCTTCTTGACTTACAAGGTCCTTTTGCTCTGCTGGGAACTTGCTGTAGAAGGTTGTAAATATGTGGAAACCTTTTATACATCATTCCTGCCTCTTTTTTTGGGTTTTTTTTTTTGAGCTAGCTCCATTACCAGTTAACTGTGTTTCTGTCAGTCTTTGGGGAAACTCCTGGGGTACAGAAGACAAGATGAAGGTAAATGTTTAAACTCCTCCTGAGAGCGTAAATTCACTGTATCAGGGTATATGTTAAGCTGCTGGGAGGCATTTGGCTTTTTTGCTGCTAGAGATGTTGGTGAAACAATGAGAATGGAAAAAACACAGCTTGGGTTTAGAAATGGTCCAGGTGTGGCTATGAAGTCCTCCATAGTTGGTTGTACTTTACAGGCATCCTGCAGAGGCTTTTTCCTGCTTCCTTGTGGTAGCGCTGATGGCTCTGTTGCAGCTGCTGCAGCATCTCCCCAGAAAGCACTGTGCCACTGGCACAGGGGCTGTCGCCTGCAGGTAGGGAGCTGACACCCATCAGCTGTGTGGCCACAGGGGAGGGTGGTCAGCTCTGGGAAAGGAGCTGTGCCCATGCAAAAGTGTGCAGAACTGGGGCCTCCCCTGAGGCTGCCTCATGGTACGGCTTAGCTGTGGAAACCCCCATCCCAACTAGCCAGTTCCCTCCAGATTTTCCCATAAGCCTAGAAGAATTGGAGTAACATTTCTTTCTGGGAGTAGAGTGCCTGAGTTTTATTAAGAAAGCTTGTAGGGGTCTGTCTGAAGACCTCTCTGTCCCAGCTTACCACCCTTCATGAAATGGCCTTAGACTACTCATGCTTTCAAGCTCATGCTTTCCTTTAACATGACTAGTTTCCTGCTGTCCAGTATTTCAGCTGCCTTTTGCTCCCTGAAGGCTCAAGCTTTCTCCCAAGCACCATTTTCCCAGGTCTCCCATGAAGGGTCAGTTTGTCTAACTGCATCTGTCCTCTCTGGGGGCCTGAGAAACTCCAGACTGACATTTTCCAGTTAATCATCTGGTCCTTTTAACTCTTCCTCCTTACTAGATGTTTTTTGAAGAAAACACATGACCTTAAGTGTGAATGCTTCAGGATTCAGTGCTCAGAGTGACCCATTCCATGTCCCAGCAGCCATGGACAATGTCATCTTCCACTGAGACCCACAGAGATGGAGCCCAGCTCTCCTGTCAGCTCAGCTTGAAATGGTGGTGAGAGAACAAGACTGATATTCCCCAATTAATGTTCTATATGATGTAGGTATTAAAAAAAAAAAAATCCCCAATAAGAAAACAGCCTGGCCCTGGCCTTCTAGAAAAGGCCACAACCAGTACCTCAGTTAAATTTAGAAGAGGATGCTTTGGTGCTTTCCTTCCATGGAGAAAGGAGAATTGTTTTCTTCAGGCTTAGATGACTCACCATGCCTATCTAAAAACCACTGGGATTTTTAGGGGGCGGTTTGAGGGGAGCTCATGACAAGAGTTGAAATAAAATTCATCCAGAGACATTGTGTGGTTTTTCCTTGCAGCTACTGACTCTCTGGTCCAGTTCACACCTTCAGATGGCAGAGCCAGCAAAGCAGAGAGAGACAATGTGCATGCTTTGGGCTGGGGTAGTTTATCTGTCCTGGGCAGCTCTCGCTGGAGGAGCAAGACCCCTTGAGGTCTCAGCATCCGACTGCTGTTCAGTTTAGAGCTGAGACATGGATTCAACAGCTTCACTTCCTGTGCTAGCCTGAAACTGTGAGTGCCATGGGCACATTCTGAACAATCTCTGCTCTCTCAGCAAGGCACAAAAGCCCAGCAAGGTGGGACCCCTGTTGACCTGTGCCAATACCTTGTGCAAAACAGAAACTGGTGTGTTGGCAGGAGGTCTGAGGGGTAAGGACTGCCATGTCCAAGCTAATGCAGCCTCATGAATGTTATACAGAATTCACCCAGAGGCAAATGCAGCCTCCCCAGCTCCTGACTCTGAGACAAGTTGTAAAAATAGGCCTGCAAGAAACATGGACTGAGAAAGAGATAAAGGATAGTGGGAGGGAGTGAAGGCCGTCTGAGCTAAGGAATTTCTCAAACACTCACAAGTAACGAAACTTATAGTCATGGGGTGGATAGTGTGGAGGTTGAAGCTGATAAGGCTGCCCAAATAACACATCATGCAGCTTGAGGGGGGACCTCTGTGGAGACTTGTCTCACCATTGTCCACTCTGCTGGTGATTTATGAATCTGAGTCACTTGTCTCCCTCATCAGTGTGGGATGTGACACTGACCAAGAACCATGACCCAGAGAAGTAGGCATGATCGAACATGTGCAAACAGGCACAAGGCACTGCAAGAGTGGTGAATGGATGGGCAGGAACTTGCTGCTGCTCTACCCAGATTGTAATCAGAATGAAAAACAGTGTGAATGTGGCTCATGAGAAATGTGTGTACAGCTGGGCTGATTTAAGGGAATTGATGCTCTGAGTGGGCATCACCCTCTCCAGCAGTCACAAACACCAGATGCATCAAGGGTGGTGGTTAAAGCACTGTGAGGGAAGCAATTATGAAATGAGTTGACCTGGATGCAGATTTCTTTGCCCTTGAGCTGAGGGAGAACGCTTAAGGAGGAGTTTTAGATCCCTTCCAATCTTGCTTGTATTTAATCCTTGCTAATGCAGCTTGGAAAGCACCATGAACGTCTGTCTAGCCATTCTCAGGGCTCCTGGTTTCAGGGCATGATGACTTTTGCAAAGTTTGGGTAAGTGGCAGATTGAAAGAAGAAGAGGAGAGCACATGTTCTTGATTTTCTGGGTTTGGTTTTGTTTGGTTTTGTTTTGTTTTTCTGTCTCTATAGAAGGACTACAGTAAAGCAGTAGTCTTAAAATCTGTATCTGACCTCACAGCATCCACATTCTCTTCCTCTCTTGCTTTCTCTTTTAAATATCTCTTATTTGGATGACATATAAACTTATCCTTAAGCCTGGATCTGTAGGTTCTGAACTGCTTTACCTTTACACATCCTTATAGTGCTCTAAAATATAGTGACCTAAATAAATGTTAGGTTCAGCTGTTCCCATGCACAAGTCAGTATCTGTAATTCTCATCAGCAGTGCTGAGCACTTCCGAAAATCAAGTTATCACTTTCAGATGTCATGGTCTTGCAGTCTCTGCTTAGGCACCTAACTCTGATAAATGCTGCCCTGTACACTGAAAAACCATTAATTTAACCATTAATTTCTGCCTCTTACTGGATGATGCAGAGGGTGCTGTGAACTGGACTCTTTTTCATTGCTTTACGGTAAGGTACAGGCAAATACAGATCCTTGAGAAATGTGTTTGCTGGCAGAGAAGGCCTGTGAAGCCTTGAAAAACAGTGCTGAGGAGATGCTGTGTCCCAGAGGTGTGTAGATCAGAAATTCCTGGCTGCTCAGGAACTGGACGGCTCTGTCCTTTTTATTTTCTATTTAATTCATCTGTGAGTGGGATTTGGCATCAGCTAGTTGTTTAGCTTTCCCATCCCTTCACATCCATCTGGGTAGGCTGAATTTTTGTTTGGCTCCGTAAGATACTTCTGTCAAGGCTGTTTCAGACCAAGAGCCTTCTCCTCTGTGTTCTGGGTCCAGCTGTTCCTTTTCTAGACCTTCCTGCCTGCCCTTCTGCAAATGAATGCAGCCCTCTAAAAGCAGGGAAAACATGGAGGCTTCCTCCAACGTTGTTTCATCATACTCATGATAGTGATCTTTGTGCTGTACGGCTCTTCATTTCTTCTATCATATTTTTCCTCAAGTCTTTGGTAGTCTGGTGTTAGCAGGTCCATCAAAGTAGTCATTGGAGCCCTAGTGATGAATAGTTGGACCAGTGAATGGTAAGTAAATATATCCAAGACCCCTGCGTAAGATCTACTGTCCACTTATTACAGAGGTATGTTGGACTAAATCCTGTGGAACTGGTGCAATGCAGAAAGGTGGGAGAAGAAATGGGGCTAAAAGGCCAGAAAAACTTGGAGCAAAACAGTTCTAGGGCATGGAGCAAGATGCTCTTGGAAGAAAATGTAATTGTTGGAGAGCTGGCCTTGGAGAAGTATATGGATTTGTGATTTCATTCACCTCTGATGAAAGAGCCTTGACCATGTGTTCCTGTGAATTATGTGTCTTCTGTAGTTTGAATTTCTGTTTGTAGCTGATGCTTACCCTAAGGTATTTGGTGGAAATGCATAAAAGTTATTATTGTCCTAGAGGGGAGAATGTTCCATCTGGCTTCTTTTTTTTAAGAGTGTTTTTGTAAGCTGAGGCTTTTGCCAATGTGAACCATGCAGTGACCTGTTATACAGTTAACAATTGGCTGCCTTAAACATAGGGTAAGAATGTAAAGGTCACTGAAGAATTTATAGAGTTAATGATTTATTTCATCTGTCACTTCAGACAGAAGAATTACAGGCTCTGTCTTGCCCAGCTGGGAAGAAACTTAATGCTGATGGCAGACAATTTTTGCACTACAGTTTATTGCTGGTGTGTGCTTTGTCTTGGAGATTTGATTTGTCCCCACCTTTTCAGAAAACTAATTCTGATCTTAGTCCTACAGCCTTTCTCTCTTCTGAGAAACTACACCTTTCCTTCTCTTACGAGTAGGAAGCAGTGGGAAGGTGCTGGTGGCACGAGGCCTGGGTGCCACTGGGATGCTTGTCCATCTGTCCGTCTGTCCATCCATCCCCCCAGGTGCTCCCCTGCTAGCTGGGGAAACCACCCTGTGCCCCCTCCCCACCTCTTGGCCACAGAGGCAGGTTTGACTTGTGTGGTATGGTCATGAAAACAGGTTGAGCTATTGTCCTAATGTAGAGAGTGGTGGTCAGGTGTGGGCTGTGCAGCACAGACTCTCAGACAGTACTCACCACATTTGCTTATCTTATTATCCTTTTTCTAATTTCTGATCATCTTGTTGTAGCCCTTGCTTATCTCTTTCTCCACCTGTCTCCTCCTAAAGAAACAGCCTGCCCTATTTATGGTTTCTCATGGATCTCAGTTTTGTGACATCCATACTCAACTTTGCTGTTTCTGATACTATTCCCTAGGCATTTTTAACCCTAAATTGTATTACTGAGATGGTTGCCCAGTGTTGCTAGCTTTAGGGCAGGTAAGCAGGCTAAAGATGTGAGGGGTTGGGTGCTCTAACATCGCTGCTCAATACTGAAATGCTTGTGTTCTTAGAGAGGTGAACTGTTCAGAAGCCCTCTGAGTTAGCCCATATATGCTCTGGTTGATCTTGGTGGCGACAGAGTTAAATGAACACTTTGAAAATCCTACCTGACAGCACACCTGAAGGGAATTCATGTTCCTGCTGCTGTTTTTTCACTAAAAGTTAGATAAGCTTTGTTTATTTTGACTTTACAGGCAGAAGGACTTGTGTGGGATAATGATGTATCAGCTCACGCCCAGACTGTTGTCAGGGCCAAATATGAATTTTTACTTGGCTTGGAAGAAAAGAAGCCTTCAGAAAGGGGTAAGTGCTATTTATTACTATTTTGTGCAAAAAAAAAAAAAAAAAAATTCCTAAGCCACTTAAGAAAGTTTTGCAGAAGCTGCTTCCTAATGACCCCATGAGGGCTCACTCTGTGCTACGCCGCATTTCGCTGGACCACAGGGCAAATACCAGACCAAAGCAGCTTGCGGTTTGGCCCTAGAAAATTACAACAGTTCCCTGTCTTATACTTGCCCCCCCCCTTTCTCTTTGGCTCACCTGGGCTACCTCGATGTGACAGCAGGGACTTGTGTGCCAGAGGCACGTTGGCAGAGGGAGTGCCAGCACTTCTCTGCAGCGCAGTCGTTTCAGCCATGTTTTCTGCAATTGCACATGCTGAAACATGGCCATCTTTGCCTGGAGGTCCTTCCAGGAATGCCCTTCGTGGTCTGCATGCTGCTCTTCCTGTAGCTAGAGGTAAATAAGATTTTAATTTAGATACTTGAGGTGGTACCTGAATGGCTCTGTCCTCTGTAGTTAGTAATTCAAGAAATCTAGGTGCAGTATCTAATGTTATGCCTAAGGATCAGTCTTGTTTCTGTTCTTTTCTTGTAAGTACAGGGCGTTTTCTACCTTTTCACATCCCAAACTTAGAAGAAAATAAATGTAGTTACTATACCTAATTCTCTTGCCTTCTTGTAATTATCAACAATCCCTGCCCTCTTTGCAAAAGTATTTCCTCAGGCTGTTCTCTTTACACCTTGATCCTTGCTAATTGAAAACTTTCTGGAATGTCACTTTATAATTAAAGACGACTCCTTTCTTGCCAGAGAGGGGCAGCAATTTGTACAGAAACAAGCTGTGCAGGCTCCTCCACTTCAGTAAGAAATGGAAAGTTATAAAAAAGAAAGCAAGAAAAAAAGCAGAACTAAAATCTGGGAAGTGAGTTTCTCCCTGGATTTTCTGCTGTTTGGTCTTTCACTTGGGAAATCCTAATGGCAGAGTCGGGGGGCAAAGAACCAAAACAACCAAAATATACTCATTTAGGAATTTTTAAATCTTTTACAAATAGCCACAAAATGTCTATAGGATTATTACATGAATCACAATGACCTCATTTCTTGTTTGGAGAGACAGTTTGAGAGCACTGTCAGCAGGCATTAGTACATTTCCAGAGATTGGCATTAAATAAAGTACGCTGTGTCTAATAAATCCATGTGAATCTATTGTTATTACTAACCAAAACAATTATCAAATGTGATGGGTATTCTTAGCTGACTTGAGTACTAAGCCCTAAAATGAAGGGCAGCAAAAAATAAGCCAGATACACTGGCTTATGCGTGTATTTTTCCTGTGCTGCTTCTTGCCTTATTTCTGAATCTCCTATTCCTTTATTAATCAGAAACTACCATTAGGGGCTAACAATTAATGAAATGGGAGTGACTTCAAGGGAGAGTTTCCAAATGTTTAATTGTGGCTAACACATAACATTTGTGAATTGTACCCAAAAACTGAGTGACATTGTGCCTACCCAGACTGGCTTCATGCTATCACAGATAAATGCATCCTTCTCTTCCAGGAAAGGTGTTTGACAGCAGTGGATAAATGAGAGTGGTGCTGCCCCTTCTACATTTTTTCTTCAAGTGAGCAGATTTTAACTGCTTATTAACTGGAGATGGATGAGGATGGGGTGACTGAGGGCACAGTAATACAAACCCAGGGCTCTGTGCATCAGATCCTGGCTTCCTTTGGCTTGATATATGTCAAATGTGTCATGACATATGTTCTGGGGGGAAGTGGCTGTGCCCGAAAGTCTCTCAGTCCTTCTCTGTGTTAGATGGGGAGGGAAAAACCACCACCAAAAATCCAAACCAACCTGCTACTTTTGAAAGTTGCCTTTAAAAGAAAGTAGGCGTGCTTTTCGTGGGTCAAAGTATGAAAGATTTCAAGAAAACAAGTAATGGGGGCAGGGCCAGGAGAAGTACTGGTGTTTAAACTTGATTGAGAGAACAGCTTGTCACTGTCAGCAGTAAAGCTGAACTTTAATTTATCTAACCCAAAGCAGTTCACCTGTGCCTTGACTTGCCTCAGAAACTGAGAAGGTAAGATGTAAACTGCTGAACAGCTTAGTTACTTCTGCATCCCCGTTTATCCTTTCCCTTTCAGCCACAACTGTATTATTGAGAAGCCCTGCTGGATCTTGTTGAGGGTATGAATTTTTTACTTGGGTACTAAAATACTTTCATTGGACAAGCCAGTTCACAAAGAAGGAATAATAATTAGGGGTGACTAGCAAACACTTCTGTTGGCCTAGATGGGAGATGGCAGACTTTGTTAATAAGCTGCTGTGCTGAATTTTACATTACAGATTGAAGCTTGTGTTCATTTTCACAGGTGAAAAGAGAGGAAAAAAAAAAGAGTTAGATGCCTGTAGAAGAGGTGTTTCATCAATGAAACTCAAATGCTAATAAAGCTGCCACATTAAAAACACCGCCTCCTCATTTCTTTCCTTTGCTGTCGTCAGTCTGTTTTTATCCGGGATGTCTGTGATCCCTGAGCTCTCCTCTTCACCATGTGATTCCTCTTGTCTGGCTCCTCTCTCACCTGCTGCCCATCCTCCTGCCCTGGATGGATCACTCAGAGCAGAAGCATGTCCAGGCTCCCAGTCCCGTGATCGTACAGGGAAGGGCTCGGGGCTGCATGTCCCCTTGCAAAGCCCTGCTTGTGGGAGTGGGGAGGATACACCACGGTATGGTCATGCGCCCCTACGCCGCCTGGCCACCTTCCTTGGCAAAATCCCAGGCCTCTGCCTCCAGCAAAAGAAAATGGTTTTTAAACACTGAATTTGGTTGGGTTAGACAAGATGTCTTCTCAGCCTTGTTGACATAAAGGGAGCTTGTTGTATATGGAAACATATCCTTCTCTGGAGCTGGCCATGGAAACAGTGATCTCTGTTGACCAGCCTTACCTTGAGGCTTGGGTTATGCTACAGAGTACTGATTTTTATGAGTTTGCAGTTACTACATATAAATACAAATTTTTGTAAAGTCTTGACAACATGACTTAGTCCTTAAAAGTGCTTCCTTGGGGAAAAAAGAGGGGGATGCTGTTGCTTAACATGAAAGCCAAGTATCCCATAATTCCTGTTACATGAGAAAATAAATCGAAGACAGTTCTTAGGAAGAAAATAGCTTCTTAAGACTCTTTTCTCTGATGCTTCTAGGAGGAACAGGGGTTTTAATCTCATCCTTCACAAAAAAAGCCCTGTACAAATAGTCCCTGGCTTGCTATACAAATCTAGTCTTTCCCAACAGCTGCTTGAAGAAGCTTGTTTTTTAATTTCTAGTGAAACAAATAGCTTTTTGGAAGGCCTGTCACTTGCTGTTTTGTGTACAGTGAGGTGTCATGAGGCAACTGAGCTCATTTAACAGTTTGCTTCTGCCAAATGGGACGGTCCCAGCTGCACACTGCCACAGATTGTCTCATGATAGTTCTTATGCTCATCAGTTTTCTTATCAAACTCAAGCCAGCAAAAACTGAGTAATAAAAAAAACCCCAAAACAATGCCAAAAAAACAATTCTAAAAAAAAGGTTTACTTCCTCCTGATAATGTGTGCTGAATCACCTCTTGCAAGGGATCAAACAGTGCCAGAGCTGACACATGAAAGAAAACAAAATCCATACTTTAACCGATGCAACGTATGCATTCCCGAACCTCAATCATGGAAAGGATTGCTTTTACTGTAGAATTTCTTTCACTTGTTTCAGGAGCAAAGGAATCACACAATGGCTGTTTTTTTTTATACAAGGAAAGCCTTTTCATGGTCCTATGATTCTGATTTAAACATCCTTAAGAAAATAACCAAGTAACTTTTTGTAAAATTAGTATCACAAACTTATTAGGTTGTCCTTTGCTCTTCTGCCTGACTTGCTTTCTCAGTGTCACTTCAAGTCATGTATATCTAGCTCTGCTGCATCCTCCTTATGTTGCATGGATGTGACACCTTCCTGATCCTCACTAAAAACTGCCCTTAGACCACAGTCACTCACATGTTGCATCATTCTCATGGTGGCACAGATTGCTGACTGTAGTCTTGCCCAGTGCTTTAACTGCATGGTTTTCCATTTTGATGCACCACCCTTTGTCACGTTTTCATCTTTTGCCCTTTCCATTTCCAGACAGTCCTGAAAGTCCGGGGTCCCTGGTCTGGTATTTTCCTCTGCAGCTGTGCTTTCCTGAAAGGGTGCAAACCTGCATTTTCTGAGGGTTGAAGGACTCTGATTTTCACATTCATTTTGCTTCATTACAGTGGACAGAGTCTGTGAGGATAGGTATGATGTCAGATGTGCATTTAAGGGTATGTCCTGCAACATTCACAAGGCTGGAATCTAGAAAGCTCAGACCTGTGGTGCCCCACCCACTTAATTAAAATCCATAGTCCTGTTGTGACTGCTTGACTCTTATCAGCTTTTTGTTTGTTTATTTCTGGTGTCCCACTGCATTTTGTGAACATACTGAAGACCCACAGGAGTTTTATATAGTAGTGTGTAATCTATACATTTTTCTTCATAGAGATCCCTGATATTTGGTGTTGCTGGATGGCAGTGATGTAAAGAGGAGGTTAACATTTCAGATTTAAGTGTCCAGAGGTACTGTATTAAAAGATACTTTTCCAGTTGTGTTTGTAAACACTAAGAAGTGATAACTTTTCTAGCACCAGTATGTTGACCCATCATGCTGTTTGCTCCACTTCCACTCCAAGGTGGAGTAAATCCCTCTTTGTAAGGTGATTTAGAACAACTGCTTGGATATTCTGAGGAGCAGCAAGCTCTTACAGTGCTGCCAGAAGAGTACATCTGACATATGTGCTTATGGAAAAATTAAATGCCGGTGAAGGAGGACTGGTTGCATTGTGCTCTGCATCTCAGCTGCATAAGGTGGAACTGTCTTTCTATCTCTCCCTCTGACTGAAATCCCACTTTTCAGGGTTAGGCAAAGCTAGGGCATGCTCCACAGCCATCAGGTGTAGTGTGATGGATGT